TTTAAAATACCGTCTACAAGCTGATGCTGGCAGCCCCGCTCCTGCTTGTGGCAGACCACACTTCCACGCTCACCGGCAGGCACCGACTGGCCATCTGGAGGACCGGGAGGGTGTGTATGTGTGGCTCGAGCGAGAGAGAGACCTTACGTGCATTGTTGTTGTTAGCATCTGGTGCTAGCTAGCTGCGCTAACGGATATAAGGAGCTGTTTAAATGAAAACAGAGGAGCGCTCTATCCACACAACTGCGCCGAGCACTTGACTTTATGCAGGAAGCAAGACAGTGGGACATTGTACGAAAAGTCAGCACACTCAGCACGGATAGTGCGCAACAGGATTGCAGCGTCCAGGCAGCTCCGGTTCGAGCATATGCCTTGAGCTGCACATAGCTCCAACGATCACACACACACACACACACACACACACACACACACACACACACACACACACACACACACACACACACACACACACACACACACACACACAGTATTGTATGAGAGAGGTTCCAGGTTGAATTGAGGCGAATATTTGTAATGTTCAGAGGTTATGTTTAATATTCATGAGAATATTTGTCATTGTTCAAATGATAATAAACATTAGCATAAAGCATATTTGTCCACTCATATGTTGATAACAGTATTAAAAACTTGAAAAATATCCCTCTAAGGTACATTTAGAACAGATAAAAAATGTGCGATTAATTTGCGATTAACTATTTTAATCGACTGACAGCCCTAATCACAACACATACCTGAGCTTTTACGGGAGATCGTCTCACCGTCAATCTGATCAAAAGACGTGTTCAATGGCATTAAAATGAGAAAAAACGCGGCTGAATCGGTTAATCCATAGGTTGATAATCTGTCTGTGTAATAATCTTTTTTTATTTATAATCCATAATTCCATTTTTATGTAAAAATCGGAGAAAAAAAGTTAGCAGCTAATGGTAGCAGCTTCCGGTTTTGGCCACTCGTCACTCTCTCTCCTTATTTTGGTAACATGTGTTTGTGTGTAGAACTGTCCCTCGATTCTATTGGCTCTGGCGGTTATAAAGAGATTTAATTCGTCAAAATCGAGTAAGGGGGCCAGAGATATGGAAAATGGCCCCAGAAGAGGGTTTTTTTTTGTTGCTAAACCTGTCTAAAAAGGTCAAATATCACTTGTTTTGCATCAATCTTGATACAGGTACTTATTACATGTTGTACTTTGGATTCCTAAAGCTTTTAGTCTACTAACCCATCATCCAAGGTCAGTTTTCACTATAAGTACAAAATAATCTTTGGACGGACACATAATTTACAGTTTTTTACCATGTTCAATCTGAATTTTCTTTAAAATAAAAAACACCTATATTGATTCTGACTCTTCTGCATCCATCTCACAGGTTTATCATTACTTTGAGAACAAAGATTATTAATGTAACCCTTTTAGAAGATATTTGTTCTGGGAATGTCATTTTCTAGCCTGAGACCTGAAAAACAGGCTCAGGGCTCAGGAGACACATAAAATGCAAATTGACTGTTTAAAGTTTATTAGTTTTATTTAGTTCAATCGAAACTCGGTCAATAATTTAATAACACGTTTTAATAATTATTTAAATTCATATGAGTTAGTCAAGAATCTTTTTGCACTCTTGGACCTTTGATCAATCCACCAAATGAAACTTAAAATGTATTTCTGTCTTTAACTGAACATCAAATCCACTATTTATTGATGTTTATTATCCGGAATTAAATAGTTTTTGATTATTTCTAGTAAAACATCCGTTTAGATTCAGTTCAAAGGAACTTCATTTATTAATCTGAATAAAATGCTTTAAAAAAACACTTAAAGCTGCAGGAAAAACAGTTTAAATATTAGTGTTTGAATAAAACCCTTATAGTAAGGTGTGTGTGTGTGTGTGTGTGTGTGTGTGTGTGTGTGTGTGTGGTGTGTGTGTGTGTGTGTGTGTGTGTGGTGTGTGTGTTGTGTGTGTGTGTGTGTGTGTGTGTGTGGTGTGTGTGTGTGTGTGTGTGTGTGTGGTGTGTGTGTGTGTGTGTGTGTGTGTGTGTGTGTGTGTGTGTGTGTGTGTGTGTGTGTGTGTGTGTGTGTGTGTGTGTGTTGTGTGTTGTGGTGTGTGTGTGTGTGTGTGTGTGTAATCCTGTTGTTTGGTCTATCAGTGTGTGGCCTCAGCTCAACATTCTGTGTGTGGCTCAGATTTCTCACAGAGTGCAGATTGTTCTCAGGTTGATGAGATTTGGTGAGGCCTTGTAGAAAGTGTGTGACCCCCCCTGAACACACACACACTCAGCTGTTATCACCTGTTGTCTGGTCGGGCTGGTTCTCATGGTGGTGATGCGTTCAGGTGAACTCGGGAACAACGTGTGTGTTTCAGGTTTTTGTGTTCTTTTACGTTGACCTCGTTATTCTCTGATCTCAGCAAATCTGCTTACTCAGCAAATCTGCTCTCCTTAAGAGACTTACATTTCTCCATACATCAGGAGGTCTGTGCAACTCGCTGTTAAACAACGCTTTGTGTCACTCTTCATTATTAAGATCGGTCGTACCGCGTGACCTTAAAGGAAACTGCCGATTTATCTCCATGAAAAAACACAAACCTCCTGAAAAAGATTTGAACCCTTCCATTGTCTCCTGAATGATTTCTCTAGACGCTTCAATGCGGCCGTACAAAATATAGGACGAAGTTTAACCAAACTTAATCGCATTCATTTTGATCAATAATTCATTGGTTTTAGTAAAACAATGAGGGCCAGCAATACTAGAATAACCTGAAATTGCAAAAAATGTATTTTGTAGATATATATCCAAAGAATATAGAAATTGAGATAAAAGAACGATGCATTATCCGCAGAAGGATATCTATAACAAAGTCAACTTCATTGTCAATCTTCCAGTTTGTGTGTACCGAGAGATCGAAACACCGTTTCCCACGATCCCGAATATAAAAACAAATGTATATAAAAAGTTGTGTAAATATATATATATATATTAGTTAGTTATACACACAGTCAAAGACAACATTTTTGTTACAAGTGCGCCGGTGAAGATGGCTGCATTGTCTCCTGGCTCCTCTCCAACTTTGCCTTTTTTCGTATTTTTTCACTATTATCTGTGTTATTGTGTTCTGTTGGAGGAGCCTGGGACCTAAGATGTTCATCGTCATAACTACACTGTAGCTATGTACGCATGACCAGTAAAAGCCTTGAACCTTGAGCCTTGAACCTTGAGCCTTGAACCTTAATTAAAACCTAAATAAAAACACAACAGTCACTTCAATATTCTGAGCATTATTGCAGGACTGTCCATAGCAGCATAGTCTGCAGGTTGCTCACCATCTCTCACGGTCCTGATGTGAACCTCCTCTGTGTTGCAGCGAGCTCTCTGGACTTCCTGATGAGTGATGGTGAAGACGACGCCTCCTTCCTGTCTCTGCCCAGCCTCTCTCACCGCCCCTCTCTGAGCGCAGAGCTGAGCGAAACAAGCGCCCCCAGCCAGCAGCTGCTCATACAGGTGCGCTAACCGTCCACTACTGTCATTTATCTGAACAGTAAATAATTGCAAGTCTCTTTAGTGTGCATGTCACAAAATGAGATGCATTGTGGGACATGTAGTTTATGGAGAACGTATAATAAACGTAGTATATTCTTTCAGAGCTCTTACGGGCCACGTCAAATACGGCCTTGAGTTTGACACCCCTGCTCGGCACTGAAACCAATATTTTACCTTTTCAGTTGTGTTTTATGTTAATATTAGACTTACTCTTGCAACATAGTGTTTTACCTGAGCGATTACGACATCAGAATAAACCAGAATTCACTCATTTATCAGGTACAACTTACCGGTACTGGGTTGGACCCCCTCTTGCGTTATGGGCGTCTGCACACCTTGATGTGGTTATTAGAGTTGCCTTTCTATGATCGGACGTTTTTGAGAAAAAAAGTCAGAATTTTTAGGAAATGTGTCAGAATTGTTGTTTTTAAAAAGTCAACATTCTGAGGTTTTCTGAAAATGCCAGAATTTAGAGATTTTATGAAAAATTCAGCATTTTAGAAAAAGTTAGAATTTGGCGAAAAAAGTAATTATGAGATTTAAAGACAAAGTAAGACATTTGAGAAAAAGTCTGAATCTTTAGAAAAAAGTCAGAACTTTTAGATTTTGGAGAAAAAAGTAATTATTCTGAGAAAAAAAAGTCAGAATTTTGAGACTTTTCTGAAAAGTCAGGATTTTGAGAAAATGAATCAGAATTTTGAGATTTTGAAAAAAGTCAAATATGTGAGATGAAGCAGTCTGGCCTTTCTCCTCTGACCTCTGGCTTCAGAAAGGCTCCCAGAGAACTGGACCAGTCTCTGGTCCCCTTTCTTCCCCGCTCTGATGCTCCGTTTGAACTTCACCAGGTCCTCTTCACCATGCCTCAATGTATTGGCTGATTAGATATGTGTGTTAACGAACAGGTGTACCAGCGAGGGTCTGCTTTAATAACTAGCTATGCAAATACTCTGATATACATGTATTACTCTATGAAACATGCAGCTGCCTCGTCGAGAAAGAGTGTAACAGGAAAATAAAGTGCACGTTTGAAATGCACGTGATAGTTGTCCGTTTATTGTCGACGATTACAAAAAAGTTGAAAACTGATGACTCACTGCTGACTCAGCACAAACTCTGTTGACACCTGGCCTCGGGGGAAACCTCCTGTCGACCCGCTCGTCAAATCAGAGACTTCACTGTTGATCCACCCTGATGTTTTAGTTACTCTGCAAGTTACACACACACACACACACACACACACACACACACACACACACACACACACACACACACACACACACAGCTGCAGCTCTGTAACTCTAATAATAAACGTCCTTGGTGAAGGTCATAATGAGATCCAAAGTTAAATATAAATCTGAAGTAAAAGGCAGAATAATGAGAAGTGCACATTGATAAAGATGAAGCACTATTACGTGTTTTAGATTCTCCTTTTTACTTGTGTTATATCTTTGTTTCGAGTATGAGCATGTTGTTGTAGCATCCCGAGATCTAACCACTGCTGCTCCGTAACGACCACTGTGCTGTCCCCGGTATACACCCAGGGTTGGGTGGTAACGGAATACATGTAAGGCGTTCCGTAATCAGAATACAACAATCAAGTAACTGTATTCAGCTGGCGTTACATTTGAAAACGAGTAATCTGATTACAGTTACTTTCGTAACACGCAGTGCAGTGAATACATTTTGGAATACTTATTGGAGGGAAAGGATTTCCTCACAACATTTAATATCATTACTAAAGGTCCAGCCGAATCATCACAGCGCACAAAAACTGTTACCGCAGCAAGATGGACCGAAAAAAGGTAGCGTTTGAAAAAAAAAGGGGGGGGGAGGGTTAAGATAATGTGTGAAAGATAACAAAGGTTTGTGGTTGTGGTGTGTGTTGTGATAGTGCTGTGTGTGTGTGTGTGTGTGCTGTGTGTGTGTGTGGGTGTGTTGTGTGTGGATGTGTGTGTGTGTGTGTGTCGTGGTGTGTGTGTGTGTGTGTGTGTGTGTGTGTGTTGTGTGTGTGTGTGTGTGTGTGTGTGTGTGTGTGTGTGTGGTGTGTGTGTGTTGTGTGTGTGTGTGTGTGTGTGTGTGTGTGTGTGTGGTTAAAACACATCAGCCACACCGCTCTTTAGCCTTATGATTCTGAAGGTAAACACAGTGAAGGCGGTGTGTGAAAGGCACTGCGTGCTCGTCTTCTCAGAGGCTGAGTGAACCCTCCCGCTGCCTCCTGGTGCTGCAGAGATTTCATGAAGTGAAGGAGGTTTTCCTTCTATCAAACAGCTGTGAGCAGCAGATACTGTGAGAGTCACAGACATGAATACATAGATCAAGGCAGACTGGTGCACACTCTCCTGTTTTGCTGATCCGGTGCTTAAACAAATATAGCTCTACACCCCTGGCCGTAATGTCCTTAAAATATGTCCGAGTTCGACATTTTAATTCATGTCCTGCCAACACTGGCAGGACAGAAGGCGACACGCCCGTTCTAAGCCGTGTCCTCACTCCTCACATCCCAAGCTGCATCCCCAGAGAGTGTATTATGTTGTTACATCGTTTCAGATGTGATGTTTCAGATGTGCTCTTGATAAGCCATTAAAACAGTAAAAACACGTTCAGTTTCCTTTGTGTGTCTCCTGTTCACCAACACATCCATCTGTGAAGGAAAAAGAAAGTAATCCAAAAGTAATCTGATTACGTTACTTTTTTAAGACACGTAACTGTATTCGGATTACTTTCAGAGCCATGTATTCAGTAACTGATTACATTCACAAAGTAACCCTCCCAACCCTGCGTATACCGAATAAAACAAGAGTAAGCTTAGCTGGAACAGAACGACCATGCTGTGAGAGTTAATCGCTCGAGAGGCTTTGTGGGTAATGTTGCTTCAATGGATCTGAATCGTCTGCAAAGCCCGTTTCCGTCTCTCTCCTCGTGTCTGTCATTAAGTCTCTGTTGCTTCCTCTCTCATTGCTTCGGCCTCCATCTTTGTCCCGTCTCTCCTGGTCTGCAGAGGGTCACCTGGTGCTGGACTGCTGCCAACGTAAAGACACGAAGTTCCTCCTCTTCCTCTATCTGTACTCCTTTCGTTGTAGTCATCCTCTTCACTCACCCACAGATGTAGATGTGATTCATGCAGCTTCTTCCTCCTAGAAACAGCTCCTTGGTGCCACATGACATCACGACTAAATGGTGTGTGTGTGTGTGTGTGTGTGTTCAGACTCTACAGGACAAAGTGTGTGAGTTTCAGGCTCGTCTTCGCTCTGAGGAAGTGTCTCGTCACCTCCTGCTCCAGCAGCTGCAGCAGCAGAGCGGTCAGGAGAAGACGAGCATTCGAGAGCCGCCGGAGGAGCGGCCGCAACCGCCGCAACCGCCGCAACCCCTGCCCAACGGTGAGACCGATGTCAGTGCTGTTACGGACACTCAGGATTTACAGATGTCGCAGACGGAAGAGAGTTTGCAGACTAGACATGGCAGGGGAGCGACGTTGCTGAAGACGTTGGGGTTGCAGGCCTGATGAGAGACAGCAGACGAATAAGAGAGGTTGCAAGCATGTTAGATGTTGCAGATCTTAGATATATGTAGCAGTCACGTTGAAGGCGTTGGATATCAGAGAGGTTGCAGACATTAGACGTAGCTGTACAGATAAGAGACGTTGGAGATGTATGATGTGCAGACCTTCCAATGAAACGAGAGGTTGCAGATAGATGGTCATGTCCGATTCGTCCGATAAGTTACAGACATTGTTGACGTTGGAGATCTTGCAGACAATTAAAAAATAAATAAAATCGTTCTCAGTCCTGTTTGAAATTAATCGTGGGCGTGTGTGTGTGTGTGTGTGTGTGTGTGTGTGTGTGTGTGTGTAGGTGTGAGGGTGTTGCCGCCTGGTGAAAAACCGTCAGATTGTTCCAGAAGTCCAGAAGAAGAGCAGCTCGTTACGCGGCTGCAAAGAAAGGTTCGTCTGCCGGTCGGATCGAACTCTGACTCTCCTCCAGTGAGAGAGAATATGTCCTATAGCCACAGAGGAACTAAGGCTCTTCAAGTGGAGGTACCCCTCCCAGAGGCAGAACGAAGCTCAACCATCATTACTTTAATACGTCTAGATTATTGTGTACAAATATTTTACAGCAAAATCTTTTTTTTGTTCATGTTTGGAACTTTCCCATAACATGTAGGCTCCTCTGAAGGCGGCCGTGTCGGGCTTATCCCATGTATCTCTGGGAATATTGATCAGGATGTCACCAAATGTTGACTGGATGTTCACAGAGAGGTAGACATACAGGAAAGCAAATATTATATCAATACCCGCTACCATCTGTGTGATATTAACACCTAAGCATGAATCATAGGCGGAAAGGGGAAAGCAAATACAAAATGCAAAAGGTGTGTGTATTCCTTTCTTTTCCTGCTAGTTTAAAACACACACAACCTGACGCTGAAATCAGACGAACAGATCGGGGGATATGGAGCATGTGTCTGATTGGGCAACACACGTGAGATCTGGAAACACAGAGCGCTAAACTGTCGACATGTTTCGAGCTAACGTTTAACAAATACCCCAGATAAAGAAATATTCATAACCTTAAATGAGTTTAAGTATTAAATGTGAGTTTAATTTAAACTAAGTCACTTAGACCCCGCCTCCTAAGGAGAGAGGACGTTTATACTTCTTCGTACCGTTGATCGTACATTCTTTTTCTGAGATCCTTCGCTCTGGTCAAATCAGCAGCTCCTGCGTGTCCTGCACATTTGAACTCTGATATTCACCTCCCGTCCCTCTGCTGCAGCGCGGAGACTAAAGGTCAGACTGTCTGTCTGGATTCTGCGGACAGTCTCAGCGCTGTGCTTCTCTGTCTCTGCCGTGTTTCAGACGGTCGCAGCTTCAATCAGAAGTGCCTGAGACCAGAGGGACGCGGAACGTCCACGCTGCGTACCTCATCTGTTAAACTTAATACATTTCATTTATGTAGCGCTTTTCCAGTCTCTTTACAAAAATATGTATTGCACCAAACAAAGAAGAAATGAGGAACATAGAATATAAAATCATTTTTAGAACAAAGCATTATGAACTGAGTTATGACGTGTTTTGGTTCACAATTTCAATACATGCTTAAAGTAAAATGTGTTTCTGCGTGGACGACAAAGCTGTTTGTGTCATTTTGCAAATCTTATATAAAAAGGGACTTTTTCGCCCTTTGAAAAGAGAGAAGAGCCTCAACCTGGAGTCAACCCTGCGGCGGAGTGGTTGCGTTGCACGCTCCTAACGAGTTATGTTAGCGTTGCTTTTATAGTTAAGAGTTACTTTTGATGTGTGTGTGTGTGTGTGTGCGTGCGTGTGTGCGTGTGTGTGCAGGTGGAGGAGCTGGAGGAGAAGCTGGTGGATCAGACGCAGGAGGTGGAGAGACTTCGCTCTGAGCTGGTGAGAGCCTGCTGCACTGCATTCCTGAGGAACACTCACACACACACACACACACACACACACACACACACACACACACACACACACACACACACAGAGAGGTGCGTTCAGGTGTCACACCGCGGTGTGAGTAAGAAACTAACAGATGGAGAAGTCAACACTTTGTTGTGTGCTGATTTGGAAGCGTATAAAGAACGGATTGAGTTTTGCTAAATAGACGTTATTTAATGACATGGTTTGCTCCGTCCTGTAGGGGGCGACGGACCTGGAGAAGCAGCTGGAGCTGCTGGTGGTCGAGAACCAGCGTCTGAAGCAGGAGCTCAACGCCTGCAGGAGCCCCCACTGCACCCACAGCCAGGTACTAATACACACTCTGTGTACTGCATATACATATATACAGAGAGCTGCACCCACAGCCAGGTACTAATACACACTCTGTGTACTGCATATACATATACACAGAGAGCTGCACCCCACAGCCAGGTACTAATACACACTCTGTGTACTGCATATACATATACACAGAGAGCTGCACCCACAGCCAGGTACTAATACACACTCTGTGTACTGCATATACATATACACAGAGAGCTGCCCCCACAGCCAGGTACTAATACACACTCTGTGTACTGCATATACATATACACAGAGAGCAGCACCCACAGCCAGGTACTAATACACACTCTGTGTACTGCATATACATATACACAGAGAGCTGCCCCCACTGCACCCACAGCCAGGTACTAATACACACTCTGTGTACTGCATATACATATACACAGAGAGCTGCCCCCACTGCACCCACAGCCAGGTACTAATACACACTCTGTGTACTGCATATACATATACACAGAGAGCAGCTCCCACTGCCAGGTACTAATACACACTCTGTGTACAGCATATACATATACACAGAGAGCAGCCCCCACAGCCAGGTACTAATACACACTCTGTGTACTGCATATACATATACACAGAGAGCTGCACCCACAGCCAGGTACTAATACACACTCTGTGTACTGCATATACATATACACAGAGAGCAGCTCCCACTGCCAGGTACTAATACACACTCTGTGTACTGCATATACATATACACAGAGAGCAGCACCCACAGCCAGGTACTAATACACACTCTGTGTACTGCATATACATATACACAGAGAGCAGCACCCACTACACCCACATCCAGGTACTAATACACACTCTGTGTACTAATACTGCATATACATATACACAGAGAGCAGCCCCCACAGCCAGGTACATTGTAAACTAAAATAAATAGAAACTTCATATATGTACACTTTATCTACATATACTTCACATACATGTACACGTATATCTGCATGCCCTCACAACCTGCGGCTACAAAACAATAATTTACAATATGGAATCCATAAGGCTAAAGTGAAGTGTCCTCAGTGAAGTGTCCTCAGTGAAGTGTCCTCAGTAAAGTGTCCTCAGTAAAGTGTCCTCAGTGAAGTGTCCTCAGTGAAGTGTCCTCAGTGAAGTGTCCTCAGTGAAGTGTCCTCAGTGAAGTGTCCTCAGTATGGGAGACCTGTCCAACATGGCAGCAAGTAGGTTACAACATGAACATAAAACAACAGATAACACAAAAGGACATGGTATTTACAGGGCTACATGTACACACCTAGAGACATGGACAAGTACCAACAGTATATCTATATCTCTGTCAATAAGCCTCACCTTCTTGGCAAACACTGTATTGTTGTTGAAGTGGTGGAGAGACAATGCACAGTTTGACCCACTGCTGTCACCCATGGCCAAAGCATATCTCTCTGTCCCAGCAACATCAGTACCAAGCAAGAGAGTTGTTTCCACAGCAGGGGATTTTGCAAACGCCCAAACATCCCAGCTTCTACCTGGAAATGTGGACATGCTCATATTCCTAACAGATAACCTTGATGACGCTGAGTGAGTGAGTGAGTGAGTTACTTGAAAAACTAAAGTGAAACTTGATTTATTCTATTGCAGGGTCTGATTATTATATTGTTGACACTTTAAAATACTACTATCCTATTAATATGCTGCACGAATCAGATTTATTATTTAATAAAGAAACAAAAATTCACATTTCCCTTTTTATTTTTCAATATCGCGATATTATCGTACCGTGAGTTTTTGGTATCGTTACATCCCTAGTCCTCAGTGAAGTGTCCTCAGTGAAGTGTCCTCAGTGAAGTGTCCTCAGTGAAGCCCCCCCCCCCTCTGTGCTGCAGGATGCGGAGTCTCTGCGCAGGGAGGTGTCCCGCTGGAGAGCCAGGCCCGGCAGAGGGAGCGCCGGCTGGCCGAGCTGGAGAGGGAGCTGCTGGAGAAAAGCTCCAGAGTGGAGAGCCTCCACCGGCAGCTGGAGGAATCGACCCGGCTGCAGGAGGAGGCCGGTACGAGGCAGCAGGAGGCCGAGCAGAAGGTCTGCGTCCGGCTGCAGGAGTGTGAGGAGGAGCTCTCCAGACAGGCAGCCTCGCCCCCCAGGGTCCAGGTGAGGAGAGCAGGAACACACGCTAACATCAGAGCAGAAACACACGCTAACATCAGAGCAGAAACACACGCTAACATCAGAGCAGAAACACACGCTTCCTTCAGAGCAGAAACACACGCTTCCATCAGAGCAGAAACACAAGCTTCCTTCAGAGCAGAAACACACGCTTCCATCAGAGCAGAAACACACGCTTCCTTCAGAGCAGAAACACACGCTAACATCAGAGCAGAAACACACGCTAACTTCAGAGCAGAAACACACGCTAACATCAGAGCAGAAACACACGCTAACTTCAGAGCAGAAACACACGCTAACATCAGAGCAGAAACACACGCTAACATCAGAGCAGAAACACACGCTAACTTCAGAGCAGAAACACACGCTAACATCAGAGCAGAAACACACGCTAACTTCAGAGCAGAAACACACGCTAACATCAGAGCAGAAACACACGCTAACATCAGAGCAGAAACACACGCTAACTTCAGAGCAGAAACACACGCTAACTTCAGAGCAGAAACACACGCTAACATCAGAGCAGAAACAACAACACGCTAACTCAGAGCAGAAAAACACACGCTAACTTCAGAGCAGAAACACACGATACATCAGAGCAGACACACACGCTTCCATCAGAGCAGAACCACACGCTTCCTTCAGAGCAAGAAACACACGCTAACATCAGAGCAGAAACACACGCTAACATCAGAGCAGAAACACCCGAACACTCAGAGCAGAAACACACGCTAACATCAGAGCAGAAACACACGCTAACATCAGAGCAGAAACACACGCTAACATTCAGAGCAGAAACACACGCTAACTTCAGAGCAGAAAACACACGCTAACATCAGAGCAGAAACACACACTAACTTCAGAGCAGAAACACACGCTACATCAGAGCAGAAACACACGCTAACTCAGAGCAGAAACACACGCTAACATCAGAGCAGAAACACCGCTAACATCACGAGCAAGAAAACACACGTAACATCAGAGCAGAACACACGCTTCCTTCAGAGCAGAAACACACGCTAACATCAGAGCAGAAACACACGCTAACATCAGAGCAGAAACACACGCTAACATCAGAGCAGAAACACACGCTACCATCAGAGCAGAAACACACGCTAACATCAGAGCAGAAACACACGCTAACATCAGAGCAGAAACACACGCTACCATCAGAGCAGAAACACACGCTAACATCAGAGCAGAAACACACGCTACCATCAGAGCAGAAACACACGCTAACAACAGAGCAGAAACACACGCTAACATCAGAGCAGAAACACACGCTGACATCAGAGCAGAAACACACGCTGACATCAGAGCAGAAACACACGCTGACATCAGAGCAGAAACACACGCTAACATCAGAAGCAGAAACACACGCTAACATCAGAGCAGAAACACACGCTAACCATCAGAGCAGAAACACACGCTACATCAGAGCAGAAACACACGCTAACATCAGAGCAGGAACACACGCTACCATCAGAGCAGAAACACACAACACAGAGCAGAAACACACACGCTAACATCAGAGCAGAAACACACGCTAACATCAGAGCAGAAACACACGCTAACATCAGAGCAGAAACACACAGCTGACATCAGAAGCAGAAAACACACGCTAACATCAGAGCAGAAACACACGCTAACATCAGAGCAGAAACACACGCTAACATCAGAGCAGAAACACACGCTAACATCAGAGCAGAAACACACGCTAACATCAGAGCAGAAACACACGCTAACATCAGAGCAGAAACACACGCTACCATCAGAGCAGAAACCACGCTACACATCAGAGCAGAAACACACGCTAACATCAGAGCAGAAACACACGCTAACATCAGAGCAGAAACACACGCTACAATCAGAGCAGCAACACACGCTACCATCAGAGCAGCAAACACACGCTAACATCAGAGCAGAACACACGCTAACATCAGAGCAGAAACACACCGCTAACATCAGAGCAGAAACCACACGCTAACATCAGGAGCAAGAACACACGCTACCTAACTCAGAGCAGAAACACACGCTAACATCAGAGCAGAAACACACGCTAACATCAGAGCAGAAACACACGCTAACATCAGAGCAGAAACACACGCTACCATCAGAGCAGAAACACACGCTAACATCAGAGCAGAAACACACGCTAACATCAGAGCAGAAACACACGCTAACATCAGAGCAGAAACACACGCTAACATCAGAGCAGAAACACACGCTAACATCAGAGCAGAAACACACGCTAACATCAGAGCAGAAACACACGCTAACATCAGAGCAGAAACACACGCTAACATCAGAGCAGAAACACACGCTAACATCAGAGCAGAAACACACGCTACCATCAACAGAACCACGCTAACATCAGAGCAGAAACACACGCTAACATCAAGCAGAACACACGCTAACATCAGAGCAGAAAACACCCGCTAACATCAAGCAGAAACACACGCTAACATCAGAGCAGAACACACGCTAACATCAGAGCAGAAACACACGCTAACATCAGAGCAGAAACACACGCTAACATCAGAGCAGAAACACACGCTAACATCAGAGCAGAAACACACGCTAACATCAGAGCAGAAACACACGCTAACATCAGAGCAGAAACACACGCTACCATCAGAGCAGAAACACACGCTAACATCAGAGCAGAAACACACGCTAACATCAGAGCAGAACACACGCTAACATCAGAGCAGAAACACACGCTAACATCAGAGCAGAAACACACGCTACATCAGAGCAGAAACCACGCTAACATCAGAGCAGAAACACACGCTAACATCAGAGCAGAACACACGCTAACATCAGAGCAGAAACACACACGCTAACATCAGAGCAGAAACACACGCTAACATCAGAGCAGAAAACACACGCTAACATCAGAGCAGAAACACACGCTAACATCAGAGCAGAAACACACGCTAACATCAGAGCAGAAACACACGCTACCATCAGAGCAGAAACACACGCTAACATCAGAGCAGAAACACACGCTAACATCAGAGCAGAAACACACGCTAACATCAGAGCAGAAACACACGCTAACATCAGAGCAGAAACACACGCTAACATCAGAGCAGAAACACACGCTAACATCAGAGCAGAAACACACGCTAACATCAGAGCAGAAACACACGCTAACATCAGAGCAGAAACACACGCTAACATCAGAGCAGAAACACACGCTAACATCAGAGCAGAAACACACGCTAACATCAGAGCAGAACACACCCGCTAACATCAGAGCAGAAACACACGCTAACATCAGAGCAGAAAACACACGCTAACATCAGAACACACGCTACATCAGAAGCAGAAAACACACGCTAACATCAGAGCAGAAACACACGCTAACATCAGAGCAGAAAACGCTAACCATCAGAGCAACCACGCTACCATCAGAGCAGAAAACACACGCTAACATCAGAGCAGAAACACACGCTAACATCAGAGCAGAAACACACGGGTTCTCATTGGAATCAATTGAAAAAAGATGGTGTTTAGAAAAAGGCGCTTAACCAGGATCACACCTGACTGTGACTTAGTTCAAAGACTAAACATAAATAAAACCCGGTATCATGTGGCGTTAACACGGGGTTTGTCCAGAGACAAACTGTAGTTACACCGGCGTTACACCGGCGTTACACCGGCGTTACACCGGCATTAACCCAGTGTAAACCAGTGTAAACCGGTGTAAACCAGTATAATGCCCCCCCCCCCCTCAGGTGGTGACGCAGACGGTGGAGGTTGAGTCTCCAGAGTCTCAGCGGGCGCTGCTGGAGCTGCAGAAGAAGAGCTTCGGGCTGCAGGAGCAGCTCGGCCTGCAGAGAGCGCTGCTGAGGGAGCTGGAGACACAGCTGCACCAATCACAGAGGACCTGCGCCCAGCTGCGCACACAGGTAACACACACACACACACACACAGGTAACACACCCACACAACCTGCACGCACGCACACACACAACCTGCACGCACACACACACAACCTGCACGCACACACACACACACACAACCTTCACACACACACACACACAACCTGCACACAGGTAACACAACCTGCAGGGTGTAGAGCTGACGGAGAGCACTTCAGAAAGTGCAGTATCCATGAGGAGCCGTACCCAGTGGCGTCTGACACACTGACCATTCAGTCAATAACGCCATGGAAGAGAACACATTACAGTAAGTACTTCTGGGTCTGTGTGTCACTCGAGCTCGCTAAGCTAACGGATATAAGGAGCTGTTTCTACGGGAAGGAATCAATTGAAATACATTATGTTATTTAAATACATTAAATGAACTATAAAATAAGCTATAAATAAAGTCTTTATAAATCTTGAATATAATGAAGTATTGATTAAATACATTTAAAACAGACTGACCCTCCTCTCTGACGCTGCAGATGATCTCCGATCACAAACGTCTCAGCGACTTCTTCTCCAGCGACGATACGGTTTGCACACCGCCCAAGGTTGGCCCCGCCCCCTCCCTGTGACATCATCAGTGTTAGAGAACTCCGTCAGATTATCTGAGATGTAAACCCAGTAAAGGCTCCCAGTAGTTCCACTAAACTCTAGATTAACAGCTGACTAGAGATCAGATGTAGGCTTGTTCTGTGGTCCCTGCCCTCCTCCTGATCCTCGTTCACCTGCGGCTAGATTCTCCAGTTTGCCCTTTGTATTTATCTCCATGGAAACCCACTGGCTTAGCGTAGTAGCTGCTCTTAGTGTCGGTCATTTGAGGGTTTTAGTCTGGATCTGATCTCAAATGTTTGTCGTTCAGTCGTCTTTGAATTTCTGTTTGATTGTGTGCCATCCCCAGTTAGACTCTGTTTTCAATGTGTGTGTGGTGTGTGTGTGTGTGTGTGTGTGTGTGTGTGTGTGTGTGTGTGTGTGTGTGTGTGTGTGTGTGTGTGTGGTGTGTGTGTGTGTGTGTGTGTGTGTGTGTGTGTGTGTGTGTGTGTGTGTGTGTGTGTGTGTGTGTGTGGTGTGTGTGTGTGTGTGTGTGTGTGTGTGGTACATTATACTGTGTGTGGTGTGTGTGTGTGTGTGTGTGTGTGTGTGTGTGTGTGTGTGTGTGTGTTGTGTGTGTGTGTGTGTGTGTGTGTGTGTGTGTGTGTGTGTGTGTGTGTGTGTGTGTGTGTGTGTGTGTGTGTGTGTGTGTGTGTGTGTGTGTGTGTGTGTTAGATCATGGTGTACGAGGGGGAGATGGAGCGAGCTCAGGGTCAGCTGGAGGTGGAGATGCAGAATCTGGAGGAGGAGAAGAACCGGGTCATCGAGGAGGCGTTCGTCCGGGCGGAGAGCGAGATGAAGGCGGTGCACGAGAACCTGGCCGGTCAGTGTGTGTGTCCGTCTCTGTGTTCTTCTTTGTTGTTTTGTTTTCACTTTTTCTGGGGTTGATGTTTAAAGGGCTGCAACTAAACATTATATTCACTGTCCGATGATCAGTTTCTCAGTTAATCGTGTTTTGTCAAATGTTTCCTTAAAGCCGAAAGACTTCCTCAAATGTCTTCTTTTGTTTAAAAGTACTTGTTCAAGAAACCAGGTCGGCCAGTGTCGTGTGTCTGTGCGTGTTATCTCACGGTGTGTGTGTTGCAGGGGTCCGGATGAACCTGCTGAGTCTGCATCCGGCCCTGAGGACCCTCACCTCGGACTACAACTGTCTGAAGAGGCAGGTGCAGGAGTTCCCCTTCATGCTGGAGAAGGCCATCAGCGAGGCCAAGCAGGAGGTGAGAGAGCGGGGAGACGAGCGGCACATCATATTTCAGGAAGTCCTTTGAGTTGGAGCCTTAACCCTGAAAGGTGTCCTGTGCCCTCAGATCTGTCAGGTGATCAGCGATGTGAGCAGAACCAACGAGGAGCTGCTGCGGAAATACAAGCGAGAAATGAACCTGAGGAAGAAGTGCCACAACGAGCTCGTGCGCCTCAAAGGTCGGACGCTTTAAAACTCAAAGGAAATATTACTTTCTGATTATTATTTGAATGCAAGTGTCAGTATTTGTTTCCAGGTTCAGTTTGCGCCTCTGTCCCTTTGCCTTTGTTTACTGTTTATATGTATATTTGGCTTTTTATAAAGGGCTTTTATAAATATATAATACATCCGTTTTTCTTTTTCAAAATACGAAAAAATGCTAATCCGGTCAATTGTCTAATTTCTCGTGAGAATGAATATACCTTATAAACAAGATCAGCGCCACAGAACTATCTCTCTAGAAACACCCCTGATGATGCTGTTTTTATTTCTCTGTAAAAATGTCAGACTTCCTGAGTTTTGTGTTAACGCTGCCCCGCTCTCCGTCTGCCAGGCAACATCCGCGTGTTCTGCCGCGTGCGTCCGGTCAGCCAGGAGGAGCAGGACTCGGCCGACTCGAAGACGATGCTGAGCTTCGACTCCGAGGATGACGCCGTGCTCTACCTCTGCAACAAGGGCAAGACCATGACCTTCGACCTGGACAAGGTGTTCGCCCCGCGCGCCACGCAGGAGGAGGTGAGGGCGGGGTCACACATCTGAAACGCTCAAGTAAAAAAGAGCTGTTACAACTTCGATAATGGGTTAAATATTGTTTTTCAACCTTAGTTATGGATTTGCTGCTTTTCTACAAAATTGGAGTCAAAATATTTGGGTTTTAGACAGATTTTTCTCATACTTTCCAGATATATTTAATATTATTTGTGGATACATTTTTCATATATTATTTTCAGAAATGTTTTATGGGATTTTTAACCTTTTTTTTTGCACATTTAAAAAAAAAAATCCAGCCATTTTTGATATTTTTCCAATTTTTTATTTACGTCAGAGATTTTTTTTTTCATTAATCTACTAAACAAAAGGAGCTCGACAACAGTTTTGATAATCAATACATCTTCAAAGCAGACATGCCTTTAAATACCAGCGTTAACCTCTGAAATCTGTAGGTTTACATCAGGGGTGCCCAACCAGTCGATCGCGAGATGTGTCTAAACAACAATATTCTGTTTTATCGTTAATGTCCTGTAACATAATCTTCCTGTGCCAGAATAATGCACTTGAATGCATCAAAGCTTTGTGATTGGCCGGCGTGACCCCATGTGTCGGGGCGTGGCTGGTGGGCGTTGTCCGTGGCAACAGGAGTGACAGTCCGCACACACAAGACCGCAATTATGGCAGAAGCAAAAAAGCCCCAAATATATAATTTTCACTCCGAGTGGGAGGATGATTATTTTTGTATCTATTCCAATTCAAAGTCCATCTGTCTCATCTGCAATGCGAGCGTGGCTTTATCGAAGAAGGGTAATTTAGGAGCGGCATTTCAAAAACAGTGCACAAACGCTACGAGACGGAACTTCCCTCCTAATTCTGCCCTACGCTCCAAAAGGGGAGGGGCCTGAAAGGACAGCTAAATGCACAGCAGTCCATTTTCACCAGGCCCAACAACAAGAGCAAGGCTGCTACCATAGCATCTTATCGTGTCAGTCACGTTCTGGAGAAACTCATGAAGTCTTTCAAAGACGGCGAAGTTGTGAAAGAAGCATTCCTGGAGGCTGCCGACGCGCTTTTGGGGGACAGTAAAAATAACAGAAGCATTTCAACAGGTTTTTGATATAATAAAAACTCAAGTTAGATACCGTTATTAATCAGCTGTAAGTTTTAGTTTGTTTGAATTCTTATACCATTTTGTACAATTATAATGAATAAATTCAAACTTAAATTGATTATAGTCTATTATCAATTCAGGTTAAGAAGCTAGTGTTGCTTGCATCCTATTTTAAAGGCATTTCTTTTTATACTCTACTAAAATGCAACAAAAAAAGGTTTTGATTCTATTAATGTTGTCTTTTTTATTGCACGTTGGCAGCAGATTCCTGTGTAGCTTCAGATCTGAGTTGTCTTATTAGTAAGCCTCATTTATACTTTTGTAGCAACACTATTTTTATATAATGGCAAAGAAAGGGTTCAGAGTCTTTTCTTTTGTCCTGTGTCATATGTGGCAGCACTGTTCAATGTGTCTTAAACATGACCCACTGTAGTGACGTGTGAATAAACTCCAACTCTGTATCAACAACACTGTTGTGTAACTTCAGTTAAATACTTGTATGTGTGTAGATTAGAAAGAGGTAAGATAAAGGATCTGCAGTATTTTATGAAGTATTCATCGTACAAAGGTCAGTTTTATACAAGTAGAAGTGTGTATTTACCTGGTAGTAGGCTGTCAGTAATGGCTACGCCTCTATTTGGACTGGTAAATCTCGGCAGACTGGCAACTTTAAAAAAAAAAAAAGGTTGGGCATCCCTGGTTTACATCATATTAAACGGAATATATATCTGCTCTCTGATTGGTCCTCAGGTGTTCCAGGAGGTCCAATCTCTGGTCACTTCCTGCATCGACGGCTTCAACGTCTGCATCTTCGCCTACGGGCAGACGGGCTCGGGGAAGACGTTCACCATGGAGGTACCATCACACGTTTCCATGGTAACATGTGGAGCCCCTCTTCTTCTTCTGTGGTATTGAACATGTATCTGTGTGGTGTGTTCAGGGAGCGTTGGATAACCCGGGCATCAACCAGCGCGCTCTCCGCCTGCTGTTCTCCGAGGTGACGGACAAACTGGACTGGGACTACAAGATCTCCGTCAGCATGGTGGAGATCTACAACGAGATGCTGCGGTGAGGAAACCTCATGTTAATGTAGTCCAGATCTCAACGTTCACAACGCCCTGAACCTGTCTGGAGACTGGTTCCCCTCATCAATACCTGCTTCACATCAATGGAACGAGCTCTGGACATAAATAGGGTTTAGCGTATTTGAAGCTCAAGTACCTGCAGGACTCTTTAGTGCGTTTCTTCCTGGTTGAATCCACTTGGCGTTGAGTTGCTTTGGATCAAAGCTAACATAATGAAAGGATGGGTGTTTGGGGGAAAAGCAAAGAAGGGATTTCAAACGATACAAAAGTCAAAAGGCTTGAAGTTTTTAGACGTGTTTTCATTTACTTTTGGAAACTTTACAGACATTTTCCGTCTCTTTTCTAAAAATGTGCTATGCTTAATTGACTTGATGGCACGAGTCGATCCACTGAGTTTTGGATAAATGTGTGAAACGACGCAGCTAACATGCAGAATATTTCCATGTGATGATGCAACGACATGAAGCACAATATATATGATTACAAATAAGACAATCCTTAATAAATCCACAGCAGCACAAAGGCTGAGATGAGCTCAGATGCACTGAGAGCTTTGCCACTCTCAGACCAAGGACAAAACGACAATTTGGAACGCTGACAGAGTGAAATATAATCAGAGTATCCGCTTCAAAATGTAAGATGTTCTTTATTGCTCCAAGTTTTACCCTTCCATCAAGTTTCATGCAAATCAGGTGTGTGTGTGTGTGTGTGTGTGTGTGTGTGTGTGTGTGTGTGTGTGTGTGTGTGTGTGTGTGTGTGTGTGTGTGTGTGTGTGTGTGTGTGTGTGTGTGTGTGTGTGTGTGTGTGTGTGTGTGTGTGTGTGTGTGTGTGTGTGTGTGTGTGTGTGTGTGTGTGTGTGTGTGTGTGTGTGTGTGTGTGTGTGTGTGTGTGTGTGTGTGTGTGTGTGTGTGTGTGTGTGTGTGTGTGTGTGTGTGTGTGTGTGTGTGTGTGTGTGTGTGTGTGTTGTGTGTGTGTGTGTGTGTGTGTGTGTGTGTGTGTGTGTACAGATCAGAGCAGTTATGTAAAGCGGATCATATTAAAGTCATGTGTTGATCTCCAGATGTTGTGTAACAGAACATCTGGACGTAAACGGAGAACTCTGTCAGATTAACGAGGTCTGAGATTATCAGGCGGACCGGGACCCTTAAACTCATCACTTCATACACACAGTGTTCTCGTTTATAGTTTAAGCTACTTCGATTACCTAGAAGAGCACTATATATATATAAATATATTAAATGTATTATTGTTATTAATGCATGCAGTAAACTCACTCGTCTGCCAGGTGAATTGTTCCTGATAATTTTACACTGAGCATCAAACTGTGTGGAAGTCTGCAGCTAGTTTACGTTAGCTGTTAGCAGCTGGTGAACAGAGGTCGATGCTTTCTGAAAGTTGCATTTACACAAAGACGTGATGCAATTTGCTGCACCATGTTTCAGGGTGTTGGTGTTGGTGGGACCTCAGAAGGGTGGCAGTGGCTCAGTCAGTAGGGCTGGGAGCTGTAGGGTTGCCGGTTCAAGTCCCCGACCAGACCTAAATATGGAGTGTGGACTGCTACTTGGAGAGGTCCCAGTTCACCTCCTGCCCTGCCGTGGTGCCCTTGAGCAAGGCACCGGACACTCCCATTGCTCCCTGGGCGCTGTGCAATAGCTGGCCACTGCTCCTAGTACTAGACTCCTGGTGCTAGACTCCCGGTGCTAGGCTCCCGGTACTAGGCTCCTGGTGCTAGGCTCCTGGTGCTAGGCTCCTGGTGCTAGGCTCCCGGTACTAGGCTCCCGGTGCTAGGCTCCTGGTTCTAGGTTCCTGGTACTAGGCTCCCGGTACTAGGCTCCCGGTGCTAGGCTCCCTGCCGGTTCCTGGTACTAGGCTCCCGGTACTAGGCTCCCGGTGCTAGGCTCCCGGTGCTAGGCTCCTGGTGCTAGACTCCTGGTGCTAGACTCCTGGTGCTAGGCTCCTGGTGCTAGACTCCTGGTGCTAGACTCCTGGTTCTAGACTCCTGGTGCTAGACCCCAGGTTCTAGGATGGGTTAAATGCAGAGAACACATTTCACTGTGTGTGCTGTGTGCTCTGCATGTGTGACTATTAAAGAGGTAAACAAACTTGAGGGTACGCCCATCTTTTTTCAGTGATAATGCTCAATCGAGAACAACCAATCTGTGCTGAAATCTGCAGGAGAGCTCAGGCTCATGTTATTTATTTGTACCCGTATTAGGTTTAGTTTGCAGATAAGAGAAAAGGGATCCATTATGATACACATTCTAAAACAGCCAGCTAGCTCACGTTAGATGTAAGAGATTGAGTTAGCAGTTAGCAGCCTGTAAACTAAGGAACTATTGGTATACATTGTTGTGAATTCAGGCTCTGTTCAGTACACATTTGAATAAGGTTTAAGGTGGATTATAACATTATTATGATATGTTCAAGGCAAGGCAAGTTTATTTATATAGCACCTTTCAACACAAGGCAATTCAAATTTAAAATTAAAGCAGCGACAAAAAGAAAAGTCTTCTTGCTGGATTTAAAAGTAGTCAGAGTTGCAGCGGACCTGCAGGTTTCTGGGAGTTTGTTCCAGATATTTGGAGCATAATAACTGAACGCTGCTTCTCCATGTTTAGTTCTGACTCTGGGGACAGAAAGCTGACCAGTCCCTGAAGACCTGAGAGATCTGGATGGTTCATAATTTAGCAGGAGGTCAGAAATGTATTTTGGGCAGATTTCTGGCTTTATCTGTTGTTTTGAACATTGCAGACTGAAGCTCAGCGCTAACTTTTATACGTTCTGCCTTGGCTCCAAAAACCATTACCTCAGTTTTATCTTTGTTTAATTGGAGAAAGTTCTGACACATCCAGTCATTGATTTGTTCAATGCACTTACTCAGTGTTTGAATTGGAGCATAGTCTCCTGGTGAAATGGTTACGTAAATGTGTGTGTCATCTGCATAGCTATGGTAACTTATTTTGTTGTTTTTCATTATCTGAGCCAGTGGTAGCATGTAGATGTTAAAGAGAAGAGGCCCCAAGATGGAGCCTTGAGGAACCCCACATGTCATATTTGTCACCTATAGAAACAAAGTTGTTTCTGTCCTTTAAGTAGGATTCAAACCAATTTAGAACTGTTTCCGAAAGTCCCACCCAGTTTTCCAGTCGGTCTAGTAATATGCTGTGGTCAACAGTGTCAAACGCAGCACTGAGATCTAATAATACTAACACTGAAGTTCTGCCACTCTCTGTGTTTAAGTGGATGTCATTAAAGACCTTTACAAGAGCAGTCTCAGTGCTGTGGTTTGGACGAAAGCCTGACTGGAACACATCGAAACAACTATTTAAATGCAAGAAATTACTCAACTGTTGAAAAATAACTTTTTCAATGATTTTACCTAGAAATGGCAGGTTTGATATGGGCCTGTAATTGTTCATTACTGAAGCATCTAGATTATTCTTTTTTAAGAGCGGTTTAATGACTGCAGTTTTCAGGGCCTGTGAAAAAATACCTGAGTTAAGAGATTTGTTTACTATATGAAGTAGATCTGAGGTCATGCAAGGAAAAACATCTTTGAAAAATCCTGTTGGAATAATATCAAGGCAGCAGGAGGAGGATTTCAGAAGTTGTATAATGTCCTCTAGGTTTTTATCATTAATCTGATGGAATTGTGTCATGATGTCTGAATTGATGTTAAGTGGACATAGGGACAACACATTTGCTGTTCCTGATGCAGAGGCACTGACTGCTTGTCTGATGTTCTGAATGTTGTCAGTGAAGGAGGCAAAATCATTGCACGCCCTGGTGGATAGAAATTCAGAGGCTACTGACACTGGGGGGTTAGTTAGTCTGTCGACGGTAGCAAACAAGGCACGGGCATTGTTTTTGGCAATGATGTCAGAGAAGAAAGACTGTCGTGCGTTTTTCAATTCCAAATTATAAAGGCCAAGTCTCTCTTTATAGATTTCAAAGTGAACCTGGAGATTTGTTTTTCGCCACCTACGTTCAGCTTTTCGACACTCTCTTTTTTCTGCTCTCACGGTCATGGCCTTTCTCCATGGAGATATTTTCTTCCCAGAATTAAAATGATCTACTAGCTCATTTACTGAGATGTTAGCAGGGACAAGTGTGGAAGAAAAATTCTGAGTAAACATTTCCCTAGTGTTTTCAGTTAAATATCGCTTTGTGGTTATCTCTTTTTGAACATTTGTGTGAACAGAAATAGAGCTCTCAAAGAAAACACAGGAATGGTCAGAGAGTGCAACATCAGTCACCTCAACCTTAGAGATATTCAGACCCTTTGAGATAATTAAGTCCAGAGTGTGCCCCTTATTGTGTGTGGGCTCCGTCACATGCTGAGTCAGTCCATAGCTATCAAGAACACAAAACAGTACTTTAGCCCCTCTGTCCTGGGGGTTGTCAACATGGATGTTAAAATCACCAACAATGACTAGACGGTCAAAGTCAATACACACTATAGACAGCAGTTCAGTAAAGTCATCAAAAAAGCTTGCACAGTATTTGGGTGGTCTATAGATATTTAGGAACAGAGCTCGAGAGGAGCATTTCAGCTGAAGGGCCACATATTCAAAATAATCAAAGTTTCCATTCCATTCTTCCTGCATTGAAGGGAATCATTGAACAGAATAGCAACTCCACCCCCTTTCTTATGCATTCTTTCCTGACTCATAAAACTAAAGTTGGGAGGGGTTGATTCGATAAGAACAGCTGCACTGTTATTTTGTTCAATCCAAGTTTCTGTTAAAAACATAAAATCGAGATTGTGCTCAGTGATAAAATCATTGATTAAAAATGTTTTTCCTGCCAAAGACCTGACATTTAATAAAGCTAGTTTAAGTTCGTTAAACACACTATCAGTCGTGTTTTTTGTAACAAGCTGTGGCTGACATGGAATCACTGCTAAATTAGATAAACTCACACAAACGTTTGAGCGCTTTTTGTTTCTAAGATGATTCACCGCTCTTAATCTATTACCTATCAACACAGATATCGGCAAAGCTACTGGCAGGCAGGGCCCCGGCTTGTCCTGGAAAGAGTTGAGAGTGCCATACGCCCTTGAGCCTGGACCCAGCACATATCAGTAAGAGTTTGTTGTGTTTTGTACACACACATCCTTATCAGGCTTCGGAGACTGCAGATGCTTTCTTGAAGGGAGGGGAGGTGGTTGACGTAGGCACGGTGATGGAGACGGGGGAGATGGTGCGGGGGTAGAGGACATGCTGCCAGGGGGGGAGGTGGTTGACGTAGGCACGGTGATGAAGACGGGGGAGATGGTGCGCGTCTCTGCAGTGATTTTGGTGGGCGTCGTTGAGGAGCGTGGGTAAAGGACATGGTGCCAGCCCTGCGTATCGCCTTAGTTTGGTCTTTGAACTCCAGGAAGGAATCGGTGCCAACCCTCTGTATCTTCTTTGTGTGTTCAGCGATCTCCAGGAGGGTGGGCGAGAGTGAAAGGGTGAACGAAGATTAGAGAGAGCTGTGGGGTGAAGGAAGAGTATCCTCAGAGGTGATAGGGGGGGTGAAGGGCGGTGGAGACTCCGCCATTTGTCTCCCATGATCAAGACATTCCTCAGGCGGGTGCAGTGATAGATTTTCAAGGTTTTCTGAACGATGTGTTGTGTCTTTCTCTTGTTTTGATTCCTCTTGTTGCTTGTCCTTGGCAGAGGGAACAGATTGATGACGTAGGCAGTTGAATACGTTAGAGATAAACAATTTCACTCAAATGTAGTCTTATAAAACGTAAATGTCTGCCATCCTAACGCCTCCCCTCTGTTTGTCGTTGCTCAGGAACCTTCTGGGGCAAAACCCCTCCGATAAGTTGGACATTAAGTTGAACCCTGACGGCAGCGGACAGCTTTATGTCCCCGGCCTCACCGAGTTCACCGTCCAGAGCCCGGAGGACATCAACCGGGTGAGTACTTCCTGTTCCTTTCAGAGTAAAACATTTCCTGTCCCTTTCAGAGTAAAACACCTCCTGTCCCTTTCAGAGTAAAACACCTCCTGTCCCTTTCAGAGTAAACGCTTCCTGTCCCTTTCAGAGTAAAACGCTTCCTGTCCCTTTCAGAGTAAAACACCTCCTGTCCCTTTCAGAGTAAAACACCTCCTGTCCCTTTCAGAGTAAAACACCTCCTGTCCCTTTCAGAGTAAAACACCTCCTGTCCCTTTCAGAGTAAAACATTGACTTCCTGTCCCTTTCAGAGTAAAACATTGACTTCCTGTTCCTTTCAGAGTACAACACCTCCGGCCAGCTGCTGGTATCTGTGTGTGAGAGAGAAACTCCCTCTGGAGGGAACACAGGGATTTTAGCCTTTGCAGCCCACTAACGACTATACTGTATAACACAATACAGGAGAAGAATAGGGCTTCTTAAAGTTTTTTGTTGTTGTTTTAAACAAAATAAATTGACTTTTAGATGACTGTGTGATTTTAAGTTCAATTTCTGTGTGTGTGTATGTTAGGTGTTTGAGCTGGGTCACATGAACAGAGCGACGGCCTGCACTAACCTGAACGAGCACAGCTCTCGTTCCCACGCTCTGCTCATCATCACCGTGACAGGGATTCAACGTCGCTACTGGGAACCGCACTCAAGGTACACACACACACACACACACACACTCACACACACACTCACACTCACAGGTCTGTTCATGTTATTTTTATGCAAGAGTATATTATGTATGTTTATGTTATTTACTACTTCTTTATACATTTAGATCTCATTTTTGTTATATTTACTTACTTATTTCCTAATTTATTTATTTTATTAGATTAACTTTAATTTGGGACCCTTCAAAATAAAGCACATTTTGTGTCGGAGGTTCTGCCGAGTATTGTATATCAGATACATGTAAAAAGTAAAGGTCCCAGTACAGAGCCTTGTGGTACCTCATACGTCACATGCTAACAGCGCTACTGGTCTCTAAACTACGTTTCTTTAACATCCGAGTGTGTTTTGTGTGTGTTTCTCTTTAGGAAAGCTGAACCTGGTGGACCTGGCGGGCTCGGAGCGGATCGGGAAGTCAGGCGCTGAAGGCAGCCGCCTGCGAGAGGCGCAGTGCATCAACAAGTCACTGTCGGCGCTCGGTGACGTCATCAACGCTCTGCGGGGGAAACACTCCCACGTCCCCTTCAGGAACTCCCGCCTCACCTACCTGCTGCAGGACTCTCTGAACGGGGACAGCAAGACCCTGATGATGGTGCAGGTGAGACCATCACTCAATGCAAGGCTTTATCATCATGTGCTCAGCAGCTACAGTGAAGAAATGGCAATGAAACACTGAAGTCCTCCTCCAACATAGAACAGATAAAATAGTGCAAAAGAATGTTTTGAGATGTGCAAGTAAATACAAATAAAATAGAAATAGTGCAAGAAGAGTCTATATACAAGTAAGTGGAATATGATATATAGATACATTATTTTCTAAATGCAAACGGATGAATGTTATGGATGTTCTTCACAGAGTTCAGGTGTTTAACAGTCTTATGGTCTGTGGGGTGAAAGTGTCTCTGAGTCTGGTGGTTTTAGTCCTGAAGCTGCAGACAGAACCGTTTGTGGGTCTTTTGTAATCAATTAAATGAAAGGACCAGACCATGGTGTGTAGGCTGGAGAATAAATCACTGAGTATGTTTCTCTGACTGCCTCCCTGTGGTGCGTTCAGGTGTCTCCGCTGCCCGGGAACGCGAGCGAGTCTGTCTGCTCGCTGAAGTTTGCTCAGCGCGTCCGCAGCGTGGAGTTCAGCGCCTCGTCTTCTTCCTCCAGGAAACACGAGAACTCGTCCACCTCTTCCTCGCCAACGCACGACAGCGCCGAGGTAACGGGGGTTTTACAGAGTTTACAGCGAACATCATTGTGATTTTTGTATTTTATTATATAATTCTCTGTATTGTGCCCCCCCCCCCCCCCCCCCCAGCTGGACTCCCCCCCGGTGACCCCCGTCCCTCTCCCCATCTCTCGGGCGAGCAGCGCTGGGTCCTCCCTCTCTTTCTCCTCCAGCTCCAGAACGCCCAGCTCCAGGAGGAGGTCCCAGTCCCAGCTGTCTGCAGGTACTAATACACACTATATATACTGTATATACTGTACAAATACACACAGTACACATAGCTGTCTGCAGGTACCATTACACACAGTACACACTGTATACAGTACAAATACACACAGTAATACAGCTGTCCGCAGGTACTATTACACACAGTACACACTGTATATACTGTACAAATACACACAGTACACACAGCTGTCTGCAGGTACTATTACACACAGTACACACTGTCTACACTGTAAATACTGTACAAATACACACAGTAATACAGCTGTCCGCAGGTACTATTACACACAGTACACACTGTATATACTGTACAAATACACACAGTACACACAGCTGTCTGCAGGTACTACATATACAGTGGAGGATATAAGTATTTGATCCCTTGCAGATTTAGTACGTTTGCAGAAATTAACAGTCTATAAAATACTTAATGTATCTCTTATATAATGTACATTTCTGCATTTTCTTTTTGATATTCTGTCTGTATTAAAATGATAGACTGTTCATTGCTCTGTAAGTGGGTAGACTTACAGAATCAGCAAGGGATCAAATACTTATTTCCTCCACTGTATAAAGGTATAAAAACGCACTGCTGTCCACATGTAGTAAATATACATATGCAGTACATTTAAAGTATAAATACACACTGGTATTCAGCACTCTTCTCACCAGTTTTCTGGAGTTTTACCAAAGGCACTGTGGGAAATGTAGGAACCCTCCTTCCACTTCCTGTGTGTCCTCACGCTGTGCTGTGATTGGTTGGTTCGCAGACAGGCAGGTAGACAGAGCCAGCCCATTGGTGGGGGACGGTGGGCAGGTAGGTGGGGTGAATGCTGATTGGTTGACAGCTTGGCATGGAAGCGCTCAGCATGGCATGGTGCCCCCCCCCCTCAATAACCCTAATTACCCCCCCCCCCCCCCACACACACACCTACCTGTTGCTCAGAGCTGCTTCTGCCTGCAGGCTGCGTTCAGGGCCCACTGAGCCCACGCACTGATGTTTGTGTCGCCTGTTCCCCATCGTCTCCGAGGTCAAGTCACAAGGAAATTAAACTCTTATAGAGTGGTGCAGGAATGAGTCCTAAGACCAGGAAGTGAGTCAGCATTTCACCACTTCCGGTTCCCTCGTCTCAGAGCCAACGGTTTTTGGAAAATATCTGGAAATAAGGTCTGTGGTCGACACAAATGTAAGAGACGGATCACGTTTTGTTCTACGACATTAAATCCATCAGCAGTGACCCCTCTGGTGATTTCTGAAGAGGTGACGTGTCTGAAGAACGATGGTTGTTACCAAGTGGCTGAATAGGACTACAGTAGTTGTCGAGGCCGTTGTACATCATTACGGCGAACACGTAAATACTCTTCTAAGTTAGTTTATGTTCTGCTTGAAACCAAGTCCCTGCCTCCTGCTGTTAAAACAAACCGCTTCAACTTGGACAGTTTAGAATCTGTGTGTTTGAATATGGATCTGAAGTTGACGTTGAAGTCGTGCTGCTGGACTCGGCTGTAGTTCTTTTATAGCATAACGTTAGCATTTAGCTTCTGGAGATTAGATTTATGATTTGAACATTATAAAAGTAGGGTAGACATGTGGAGATTATCCGGCTGAACAAAACGTGCATCAAACAGGTTTGTTTTCCACACACCGTATTTCTAGCTCTTTTCCAAAATCCTATGGAGAAATCCTGTTGCTTTTAGTCGAGGGAACCAGAAGCTTCCTTCAGGGTCGAACTACAAACATACGTCATCCCTGCACCGCTCTATTAATCCTCACCTTGTTTAACGGAGCGGTCCAAGGCTAATCACTTCCTGGACCTTTGTTAATAATAGTATTTAACCCTTGTACCTCACTTTAAAAAAAATAAAAAAAAGTCCATATAGTTATATATTATAACTTACCACCTTCAGTCTTATCATTGCTAGAACATATTATTTTATTTTAACAATTTTAACCCTTTAAATGCTAGTTTGTGTAAATTAAACCACTTTTATTGTTTAATGTTTTTATTTTATTTATTTATTTATATTTTCTGAAAAAAAATGCATTAAAAATCAATATGGTAAAAAATTGTAACACATTTGAAGCCAGGACTCAAAATGCAGGGTTTTTATAAATTGGGATTTCAATGAAGACATTTTTGTCTGTATTCTGGATACACACTTTATTATAGGAGCTGACGTACACTAACAATACTCCTAACCCAACCCATGCCTAATGTTAAGCTATATAACAAAGCTTCATTCATCAAAACATGTGAATAACAAGTCCCTAAAGTAAGGCAGAAGGCTTAAACCCTGGGCTTCTCCTTGTGACTTCAGAGCGATGGGGCGTTGAGTTGGTGTCCTTAAGTTGCTGAATATTATTTAGATGTTAAAGGTTTCTGTATCTTTAAGTGAAGGTGAATAATGAGCTGAATACATACCTGGATAGATGTTGGTTTCTTTTGTTACATTAACACTGTGATGGGGCTGCTGTCTGATGGTCTGGTTTTCTTTCTGTAAATATTTGCTGGGTGACGAAAACAGTTTGTATCATATTTAGTCAACTTTATTTCAAGAATACACATTTTAAAAAGTAGATGAGAAGCTTCTTGACAGGGCTGCTGTCAGATGGACTGGCTTTCTATCACTAAGATAAGAATTATAACTAATGTTAAACTATATCGTGTTTTTCACTCTGAATTCCCCTTAAGGGACCAATACATGTTAATCCTATTTTATAAATATCCAGACATTTAGCGACGTTTTGGTTGACTTCATATGATTTGAAAAAACAAGAATTAAAACTCAAAATAAAAAGTTACTGAGGAAATTAACCCTGTAAGTTATTATTTGATGAGGTTGACGAAATATGATACAAACTAATGTGAACTAAGACTTCAGGTGGAAACGTAACTTGATGTGATAGGGCTGCTGCTTTTAGGCAAGTTTTGGCTAGCTAATAAAATCAGTTGTCTTCAGTTGTTTTAACAAAATTAGTCAACCTTATCCAACATTTAAATATCCCAGACTTTTAGGATACAAACTGTTAGTTTTTATTAACTGTATTAACTTTTAAAAACTAATGAAAACTAGGACTTAAAAGGTCAAAGTAACACTCATTCATTAATTGATTAAGAAACAGGATTAGACTAAATAGGATTACAAACTAATGACAACCAGGACCTAAAAGGAAAAAGTAACTGTTTGACACCTCATGGGATCAATAAAGGTTCATCTTAACTTGAACTAACACAAGTGGTCATTTTTGTGTAACAATTATGAAAACAGTGAGTTAAATAAAATGTCAGTTATAAGTTGATGAAGAAGGTTGACTAATTATGATCAAAACTAAGACTTAAGGTGGAAGAGTAACTCAGAAACGATGTGTGTGGGGCTGCTGTCTGATGGTCTGGTTTCCTCCGCAGGACGACTGAAGATGACGGCGTGAGGAACCCGGCGGCGGTGCTTGTTGACGCTCGGTTCTCCGTGATTTCCCCCCTTCAGCCACGGGAGGAAGGAGCAAAGACTGCTGGGAAGTTTACGGATTAACCTCAACATGGCCGACAGTCTTCGTGTCTTCTTGCCGCGTTGATGAACTTCTCAAAGCTCCCGCGCTCCTCCCGTCTGGACTGATTCTCTGATATTCCCCGACAGTATACGCTTTCCAATCACAGTATTTCTTTTATCGTTTCGTTGTAAAGTTGCACTTTAAACTTTGAGATTATTTTCTAGCCCACAGTTCCAGATGTGGTTTATAATATATGCATAATATGGTTATTTATGTTTTGACTCGCTTTAATCTTGTTTTATTTAGGGATTTTTTAACCCCTCTTTGATTGCAGATGCGGAGCCCGTGAAAAGAGGTTAATTTAAACATTTTGAGATGAAAACTCTGACTTGTATCTGAGATTTCTTTTATCTCAGGATATATAAATGAACCTTGTTTCAACACGTATTAATCGTCTTCTGTTTTCTAACGAAGGCTGTCTTTGGGTCCTTTATCCAATCAGGATGCTCCACTCGTTTTTATTTTTCATGCTAACGAGACTTCCTAAAGCTTGCCGAACAAAAAGTAAAATCTTGACTTTGTTTCTCGTTACGCTCCTGCTGCCGTCACCTCTGTTAGAAACCAACTGTAGGAACCCCAGGTGACCTTTGACCTTTGGACAGGTGTGCAGCTGGTAGTTAGCCGTAGTGAACAGGAAATGCTTGAAGGCGCTGAACTGCTTCTGTGTCGTTGTTCTGATGGACATGTCTGCTTGCTTTGTCTCTACATCTCCACACTGTTGTTTTTGTATTCCCTTTTTAAATAAACGAACATCCAAAACAAACGTCTGTCGACCCATTTCATAAAGAGAGAGTTCTGGAAACGAGTCAAAGGTTCTTTTTAGACGCCGTCATAAAAAGTCGTGGTAGAGCATTCATTGATTAAGAAACAGGACTTAAAGGAAAAGGTAACTGAGAAAATGATATATTAATAATAATAATATTCCTATCCTGTGTTTCACACCCGACGGGCTCAATAAAGGTTTATCTTAACTTCAACCAACACTTGACTCAAAGTCTGGTCATTTTTGAGCAACAATTATGAAGTGAGTTAATACAAAGTACTGCGAAAATCAACCATGTCACTTATTGATATTGAGCTATTCCCTTTTTAAATAAACAAACATCAAAAACATGGCGACCCATTTCCTCAGAGAGTTCTGGAAACAAGTCAAAGGTTTTTTAGACGCCGTCGTAAAAAGTCCTGGTAGAGCATTTCGTGATGAGTCCTAAAAAATGTGATAGAAGTTATTGTTCAGTATTTTGTGCTATACTAAAATAAGTAATACGATTATATTTTCATGTAAATACTGCTATATTTTACGATATTTTTGTATGTTATTCTAGTTTTCTTAAAACAGTTCTCTATCTGTGTTTTTTATTTTTGTTTTACTTTTACGTATGCGCCACGACACCAAGTCAAATTCCTCGTACTTAATCTACCTGGTGATAAACCTGATTCTGATTCTTTGTTAATGACAGTAAAATGAAGATGCTGCCCCCTGCTGGTCCAAAAGAGACTCCTCTTGGATCGCGTCGTGTAACTTTAGTGGAATATGTAATAAAAGTCATTGGAGCAGCTAAAATCATAAAGAAATGAACCAGAAATGTAACTCAAATAAAAACAACCAGTTAGCGGATCTTACGCAGGGTTCAAGGATCCAGGCCAGAGTCCTTTCTGTGCATGTTATCACTAACAATATGCAACAAATTAAGGTTTATCACTCTTTCCTGTGGCCTCCTCGTGTTCTCCTGGTAAAAACACATATGCCATCATGCTCTACTCCCACTGTCTCCAATATATACAATTACACCAGGTGCCCCAATACACCTTCAAAATGCATCAAAACTACTTTAACTCACTTAAATAATAATAGTCACTATATACGTAAACAGCGAGAAATTAAATGTGTAACTGTTCAATAATATAAATCAAAAATATAGCTCCAACAGTCATTGTATAGTATTTTGTAAAAAGTCCAAAAAGAGTCGTCGTAAGGTACGTGATAAAAAGTCATGGTACAGTATGATATTGTGATGGAAACTTCTGAAGCAATGGAGACGAAACTCAGAGAGACATGGAGCTTTGATGGAGCTTTGATGGAGCTTTGATGGAGCTTTGATGGAGCTTTGATGGAGCTTTGATGGAGCTTTGATGGAGCTTTGATGGAGCTTTGATGGAGCTTTGATGGAGCTTTGATGGAGCTTTGATGGAGCTTTGATGGAGCTTTGATGGAGCTTTGATGGAGCTTTGATGGCAACCACTGACGGTTTATTTGGAGCTTCGGCCGGAGAATTCAGAAGGAGCCACAAGGTGACACAGAGGATGCCAAACCAATTCTGAAGACCCCTCCTGTAGCTCCAGGTTTTAACTAGTTCAGTGTAACAATCAACATTCTTCATCAGACAGACTAAACAGCTGAGGACACTGAATCACATTTGTTGTCGCTTATGGCTCGAGGTCATCTACTCCCGGAGAAGGATGTGTTCCAGGTGTCCCACAACAACAACTATCTCTGACCGAGAGCTGCCCGCTCACAAACTGGTGACATCAACAACTTGCTGGGGCAGCCCCTCCTTAAGGCAAGTTTATTTATATAGCACCTTTCAACACAAGGCAAGTCAAGGTGCTTTACAAAAATGAAAGACATTCAGACAAAGACATTTAAAAACAGTCATTAAGAAGAAAAGATAATAAAAGAAACATTAAAAGAAAAAACACATGAATAAAAAGTCACAGTGCAGTTTAAGATGTGAATAGTTCACACAGAAGTTCCACTTTGCTGATGCCTTTCTTTAAGGTTTCTCCGAACACTGAGCTGTGTACGCTTGTACGGCACATACGTCCCGAGCAGCACACACAGAGAAGAGCAGCCAGGACAATGTCCCCAGACACTGTTTCCCTGGGTTACCAGCCCCAAATGTTCATTAACCAAAAACGAAACGCAACGGCTCAGTTTCAATTAAAAGCAGCGACAAAAAGAAAAGTCTTCTTGCTGGATTTAAAAGTAGTCAGAGTTGCAGCGGACCTGCAGGTTTCTGGGAGTTTGTTCCAGATATTTGGAGCATAATAACTGAACGCTGCTTCTCCATGTTTAGTTCTGACTCTGGGGACAGAAAGCTGATCAGTCCCTGAAGACCTGAGAGATCTGGATCATCATTTAGCAGGAGGTCAGACATGCATTTTGAGCCTAAACCATTCAGTGCTTAAGGGAGATAGCGGCTGTCTAAGGTTGGGCATCTGCGTCAGAGGGTGAAAGAGGACATGCAGGGCAAATCCCTGACAGATATGATGGCGAGTATTTGAAAATAAGTCCTGAAAAGGTCTTCGTTCATGATGTCTTCAAAAGTTAAAAAAATGTCGTAGTATAGTTTGTCGTAAAAAATGTTTGTTGTTTGTGTTTCATGTATTGTGTCTGGATACTTGTCTGTCTGTTGGACATGAAGCTGCTGTGACGCAAGTCACATTTCAGACTTGATCTGACAAATAAAGTATTATCGTATCGTATCGTTATTAAAAGTCATAGTGTACATCATAAAAGGTCCTAACAAGTCATACTGATGAAACAGAAACTGATAGCTTATTATGTTATGAGCAGTCCGAGTATATGAAACCAAGTCAGCGTTTAGTATTTCATAAAAAGTCAGAGTAGATTTTTGTCAAAAGTCCTGGAAGAGTCGTCGTAAGCTACGTCATGGTATAGTATGATATGAAAATTCTTTGTCTAGTATTTTAAAATAGGTCTTGAAAGGTCTCTGTACACGATGTATATGATTAGAAAGTTATTGTATAGTATGGTATAAAAGGATTAAGTATTGGGTGTCGTAAAGAGTCGAAAGAAGTTCATAGCTTGTTGTGAAAGTCATATTATTGTATGTTATTAAAGGTCATATTTTAGTGTTTCATAAAAGACCCTTAAGTCATAATACTGTAAGATGTAAACACTGATAGTATTGTAGGTCATAAAAAAGTCAAAGTATAGTATGTTATAAAATGATATAGTATAGTTAGGCGTAGTAAGTCATAGTATTTTGTAAAAGTCCTACAAAGTTTTTAGCAAGGTACATTGTAAAAAGTCCTTAAACACATATTCTAAAAACTAATAATACAGTATTTTGTAAAAGTCCTACAAAAATTCTACTTTGTCGTAAAAATTCATTAACAGACATAAATGATTCCTACAAAGTCAAAGTATAGTATTTCATGAGTTACGTACTAAGTATTTAAAAAGTGTTTTTTTTGTCTCAGGACAGGATGCCATAAACTCATGAATTCATAAGCCTCATCCCAATACCCCTCCTCGACTCCTCCTTTCCCTCACTCGCTTCCCTTCCTTGCGTCTTAGCTCCGCCTCCGTAAGATGCGAGCGAGAGACACGAGGAGGTGACGCAAGGACAGAGGAGTCCTCAGGTATTAATTGGGATGTCCTCGTTCACTCAAACGTCACTTTTAAACGACGTCTGTTAATGATGACATGGGCACAGCTGTATCCCCTCTCATCGGGCTTAACTGAATAACCCTTAGAACCGGCCCATTAATTGTTAAATATTTATTTAAATGAATGACTTTCTCTTGTTAGTCAAGGAATTCAATGTATGATGGTTGGTCCTGCTTTTGTGTTCCGTTTTGGTGTAAAATGTAGCCTACATTTAAATAAAAATATAATTATAGTAATGTGAAAGCCTTTTAGAAATGAATTGCGCATAGTAATTCCCACGGAGCTGTGAGCACTTATACATGTATGTGATGCTTTTCCACTCATCTTCCAGTTGTGGTTTTCCTCTGTTGAAATGGACCAGCTGTGAAGGTGGGGGCGGGGCTTTTATACGAGAGTAGTAAAAACACTTCCGCGTAGTCTGCTCGCGTGTATCCCAAGCCCCCAGGAAGTGCGCCGGACTCAGATGAAAATATTCGTGCGGGCCAAACGGCGGTACTACACTTCCGTTTGGTTGCCAGGCCCGGAAACACTTTTTCCCATTGACTTACATGGGGAAAGAGTGGTCTGTAACTCGTTGGATAATTTTTTTTAAACTAAATAAACTACCCAGTATGAACACTTGTATAGCCCTTATTAAAAACATTCGTTCCTCAAGTTGTAATAATGTGCTAATAACGTTATTCTGAGAGTTATTTCCCTCTGCATTATGAACGCGCATCTAACCCACGGGACCGCGCCGCCCGGCACGTTCATGTTACGTGTCTCGACCATAGACTGTATATATAAATGGACGTAGGGTCCGTGACGTCACCCATAGGATTCTGCAGAGTTGCCGTGAAGCCCTTAGTAGGCGGAGTCGGCCACTAACGGCTCGACGGTGTCGTCAGAGTCTAACTCCCGCCTTCTCCAAATAAGGGCAAAGAGGCGGAGCTGAGGCGGAGCTGAGGCGGAGCTGAGGCGGAGCCGAGGCGGGACAGGGCGGGACCTGCTGCCAACGAGCGTGACGTTCGAGTCCTAGCTCAGGCTAAGAAGCTAAGCTAACATGCTCTCAGCATCAATCGAATGTAAAACATGATTGATGAAAGTAGTAAATCGGTCAGATTTGACCCGAAGACAACAGGAGGGTTAATGCCATATTCACTTAGTAACGCATGAACAACTTTTACAAATATTTCTATATGGTCTGTGTTGGTAAATGTCATCTAGGTTGCACATTTCCTGCTGAAATACATGCATACCAAGTCACTGCGTGGCACTTTGGTTTTGATAAAACAGTGTAGTTCCACTATATAAACGTTACATTCATAATCAAACGAGACAATCTGCAAGATAATTAGCTATTTGGT